GTCCACTTGACTTCCTCCTCCCTGAGGCTCAGAAAGATGCGGTTCTGTGCCCAGAGTCATGCAGAGTCAGTGGCAGAGCTACTTTGTCACCCAGGAGATCTCTGCTGTCAAGTCACAGCTTTCCTCCCATTCTTTCAAGTTTCTCTTCTGATTACAACATGCTGGGTATGGGTTGCAGGACTTGATCCTCCCCAGCCCTCTGCCTGGAGCCTCCGACGGCCTCCTGCTACGTGGCTTGCCCACAGCCTGTGGGCTGGGCCCAGTCATTTGGCACATTTGGCACAGCTATGGTCTCCCCAAATATGTGTTTCTTGCTTCTGGCTGATATGCAGCAAAGCCCCCGGCAATATCCAGGCATGTCACCCACAATCTGGGTTGCAGGTCTGCAGGTCTGCTGGGCTTTTCTGTGTGTCCAGCTTTCTTCCCATGCTCTCCTACTGAGCAGCCCTTGTTCCTGAGCCACTGGGCCCTGCAGGTGCAGGGGGCTTTGGACACAGACTTAATGTGTTTGGCCTTTATTTATTCCATGTGGCTTTGGCACATTAATGGCCAAAGGCCATTAAACCTCAGTTTCCTGTGCTGGCGCCTGCTGTGAGCAGTGACTCTGTGTTTGTGTGGCTGGTATGGGGCACTCTTCAAGCCTGTGACACAGTGGGAAGCCAGGCACTTGCCAAGGCCCACAGGGACCCTGGAGAAGGAAGGGGCGGAGGCCATGTTTACCACGCACCCAGCACCAGGACAGAAGTAGGCTTATAGGACAAGGCACAGATGGTGCTGTGTTAGATTCAGAGCTCTTGAGGGGGGGCTGGGACAGAGCCAAGCACATGTACTCAGTGTTTTGTTTTGTTTTTTAATATAGGAAACTTAAAAATATGCTCAGAAGTAGGGCTAGGGGTGTGGCTCAAATGGTAAAGGGCCAGCTGTGAGCAAGCAAACCAAGCACGTGTGAGGGCCTGAGTTCAAGCCTGGATACTGCACCCCCAAGTAAAAATATAAATATATATGCACAGAAGTAGAGAGAATGGCAGAGCGAACCAGCAGCTCCCTCGGCGTTCAGCTCGGCCACTCCTGGCTTGCCGGGACCCTGTCATGGCTCACCAGCACAGTGCGGACACAGTGCTGGACATCTTAGCTTCTACTTTACCTACCTTGCCTCGTACTTTGTAACTATTTCCATGTGTGTGTCTGCTCCGGGAAACCTCCTGAAGGACCCTACACAGAGTCCTCCCGCCTACAAACCAGTTACCAACTTAGCTTTTCTTCCTAGCATACAGGCTAAGACTTTAGTTTCTCCTAACAGTTTATTTTTATATCTTTTTTTTTTTGGTGGGGGGGTGAGGGGGAGGATAAAATCCAGGGCATTACACTTACTAGGCAAGCGCTTTGCCACTGAGCTACCATCCCAACCCCCTATTTTCATTTACCTGTTTTTTTTTTCTTTTGTTATAGTCTTGCTCTGAAGCCCAGACTGGCCTCAAATTCACTGTCCTCCTGCCACAGCCTCTGGCCTGCTGGGATTACAGGAGTGTGTCACCACACTGTGCTTGGGTTTTAATTTTTCATATTTTGGGCTCTGGGGATGGGCCCAGGTCCTGGCATTTGCAGAGCATTACAGCTCTGAAGGCACCCCTTTCCCCACCCTTACAGCCCTACATTTTGTTTTGTTTTTGTTGGTCATGGCACTTGAACTTGGGGCTTGGATATTGCTGTCCCTGAGCGCTTTTGCTCAAGGCTAGTGCTCTACCACTTTGAGTTACAGCTCCACTTCCAGTTTTCTGGTTAAATTGGAGAACTTAACCTGCCAAGGCTGGCTTTGGACTGTATCCTCAGATCTCAGCCTCCTGAGTAGTTAGGATTCACAGGTGTGGGCCACCAGTTCCCAGCTTGTTTTCATAGAGAGAGAGAGAGAGAGAG